AAATTCAAAGTAATTTGCAACACACTGCAGGCTTCTCCAAAACTCCTTGAAACCCCCACCAGGAAGCCAAGCCAGCATCTCACCTGCCCCGAGGTCTACCCTGCAACCATCGGGGCACATGTGCAGAGGGGAGATCTGTATGTGGGCACTGGCTGGCTGGCACAGAGCGGCTGCTCTTTCATATGCTCCATGGCACTACCCCCAGCGATAAAAACCTCTCAGGCAAGGAAGCTCTGGCAGACCCTAGAGACCGGCCGAGAGCAGAGATGTTGGCAACCCTTGCCAGCCAAGCGATGGGCAGGGGCAGGGCAGCATAGAGCTGCCTAATTAACATCCACCAGCTCAGTGCTTCAGCATCACCAAAAGAATTTGCTGCAGAAAAGGGGCTTTTTGTTATTTTTCACAATCAAAACCAGACTTTGTAAGAAGGCTATCGGAGACAGAAAGCAAAGGAGATCAAGTCCCAGGCCTCCCAGCCTCAACAGAGAGGGACAACGTGAAGCTCTCTGCATACAAGTGCTGCTTCAAAAGAAGAGGCATCAGTTTAAACGGGAACAACGACGTACAACAACTCAAATAGCCCGAGACTGTGGCCGTGTCATGTAGAAACATCTTTTTAGGGAGGAAAAGAAAGTACAAACAGCTCCACACTCTGTGCAAGGCTGTGAAAAATAGAAAACTAGTCTGGGAAAATAACCTATAGAAGGGACACCACTCCAGAGAGCTTGCTAGGGGGAAAGAATCATTTTCTGCACTGCTCCTCTGGTCGCTCACCTGACAGTCACTCAGTAGAGCAGGGCTAGGCTGGGCCAGAGAACTAAATAGATGTTTTTCTTCCAGCTGATCAGGGCACCGCGACCCACAGCAAAGGTCTCGGGGCAGGGCTCGCTGACAAGCAAGCAGCACTGGCAGGGCTCCCGGGGTCCAGGGTCTGTGGGAGAGATGCCTCAGTGCATGGACGCAGCTCGTTTCACAGTGCTTCGTGGCTCTGCAAAGGCCAGAGAAGGGAGGCAGACGCTTCACGCCTGAGCTGGAGATCGACTCAAAGACACAAGGCTCCGGTGGCATTTCCCAGATCCTTGAAACGTCTTCAGAGATGCGGCGAGAAGCCCTAGAGATGCTGGCTTCACATCCGCAAGACCCTTCACCCCATTTTGTTCTTTGCATATTCCAGGAAGCCGCATCGATCGCCCCAGAGCCCCTGTCTTCTTCCAGAAGGGCTGTCCTTTTATGACGGGACGTGCCCAACTCTGCCACGGACTCCTTGTGTGCCCAGACAGGCCTGCACGTCCCTGCCTCGGTTTCTCAACGGGAGGAGTGATGCTCAGCCCCTACAGCGCAGACCCCAGTAATCATGGAGAAGGCGCCACACAAGGCAGAGCCTTACTTGGTGCTGCCATGAGATGGCAGGGGTTTCCTCTGCACTTTGCAAGGAAAAACACTCCCAGCTCTCTGGACCCTGCTGCTCCCCCACCCTGCCCTGGCATCTCCCTGTGAGGATGTATCCAGAACAGCGCCCGGCCCCAAAAAACAAGGCACCCAAAAGGCAGAAGCTCCAAAATGCCCCACCACCTCTCCGGAGCGCCTCTGACCCCAACACCTGCCTCCTGCCATCCCAGAGTCAGAGGAGCGCCAACACACCCACTAGACAACAAAGACAGGAGAGGATCCATTTACCCCGAGGCATCAATCAACAACACCTGTCTCCAGCAGACAGACAGCTGTGCAACAGAAAAGAAGTTTTGAAGGACCTGGCCCAAAATGACTCTTCAAAGGGAAATAGTTTGCAAGCAAAAACCCAGTCTCTTTCTACAACACACACACATCTGGAGCAGTTTTTGCAGAGAGGGGCCAGGATGAATGTTTGGCTTCACCCCAAGACCGTATCCAAAGACTAAGCTGTGCATGTTTCTGGTCCTGACATCCAGGCTTTAATCAGAAGCAGATTATTCCATCATTGCACCGTCCCTCTTGCACCTCCTACCAAAGAAACTGGCCAGTGCCTTTACAAAGTGCAAAGACCCCCCCAGAGCCACAATTAGCTCCACGCTCAGAAACCCCCTGCTCTGTTTCTCAAACGGTTGCATCCCCCCCAGCACAACCTGGAGGTTTCCTGTACAGACAGGACACAGCCGACCCCCCTGCCGAACCTCAGAGCATCTGGAGGAGGCTGCTGGCACATCTGTGCACAAGACCGCAGGCTCCAGAGCATCGTAAATCAAAATTTTCCACTGCAAGCCAGGGAGGTCACCCGCCTTTGGTCACCCGCCAGCCCTTTGCCGCGGAGAGAAGATCCTGCTGTGGTAAGGAAGAGCGCAGCCGCTCACAAAAACGAAGGCGGCACGTGCCTCGAGCATTTCATCCGATCAGAAACAAGACCACCGGCACGGCTGAAAGAGCCACCTCCAAAAAAAATCAGCATCACCTGCCAGGTCCGCTCCCCCCCAGCCTTTCTTCATGCATCATTGCCAGAGCACCAGCTCCCAAAACCATCATGCTACAGAGCAGCCATCATCCAAACAGTCCATCACAGCCGGTTTCATTTGACTTCCAAACAACTGCTCTATCCCTGCTGGTCCCATTCAGCTCAATGGTTAAGTCAGGACGCTGTGCCCCCAGCTAGTAGCCAGGCTGGCACCGCGCATCCCAGCTGCACAGGCTCAATAGCAGCTCCTTTTGCTTTTAGGCACTACATTTTATGCATTGCATTAGCAATGCAAATAAACCACCTCTGCCCGCAGCTGAAAAAGGACCTCTGTAATAATCTACCCTGACCTTCCAGAAAAACGCAAGCCCTAGGGCCGTTTTGCCTGAAAGCAGATCTTTTGGGGAAAAACACTGTCATTTGAAAGCGGGCAGAGGTGGCTGCTCAAAGGCTGCCTAGCCCTTGTCAGACTAGTCCAATGATTAAGCAGCCTCCCTGTTACTAATATGCAGCTTGTTTCTAGCCCTGCTTCATGGAAACGGTCCAGCATCCTTTGAAGATGACCTCAAGATTAAGATGGTCCTAGGGGACCCATGCTTGATGCTGTGCTCTCTGCTGGGCATATGAGTTTGATAAGCAAGGAAAAAACTGGATGTCAGAGCTGCTTTTCAGCCCTAATAAAACAGGATCCCAATTCCTATCACAGCACAACAGCTGTGTGCTGGGGTCTGGCCCTGAGCACTCCCAGACCCTCGAGCCTGGCTAGAAGTGGGTCTGCTCCTTCACACCCCAATCAAAGAGGGAACAGGGAAGCAGTGGCAGGGAGATGGACTTAAATGAGTCACTGCCTTCATTATTTACCAAGGTGGAGCATTGCTGTAGCTGCGATGGTGCAGGAAATGTATGAGGCAAAGGTTTCATCCCTTTTAACGGACTAACTGTATAGTTAAGAAAACTTTGGGCCCTTCCTCAATTTACCAGCCGAGATAGTTACTTAAATTCTTTGCATGTCCCGTGAGGCAGCAAGCCCTCAACATCTAGGGATATGACAGCCTGGTTTTCCTTAGACCCCTGGCTTGTGCCCACATGCGCAGAGCAAGGAATTCGACTCCCCGCACCACTTCAGCTGCTAGCAACCGTATCGAGTGCTGCAGGAGGAGGAGAGAAGCCAGAGCTGCCTTGCTGCTGGCTGAACAGGCTTCTGGCTCCTCTCGAGCACAGATGGGCATCTTCCGCATGCCAGGTGCTGGTTACTCAACCCGGATACAAAGTCAAACAGGATCTGGGTGTTTTGCAAGTCCTTTAAACCACAGTCCACCCCAGGCACCTGGCCACACCTACTAGAAACACGTGGGATGACCATGAGTCTTGCAACTGAAACTAAAACTGCAGGCATCTGTGCCCTCGTTCTGCTACACATCCTAACACAGACTCCCGCATCTCGAGAAAGCACCGAACAATGCTGGGCTGGGCTGGGCTGGCCTGAGAGAGTGCACAGAAGTAATTCTTTGTCTGCAACGCAGCATCTCCACACCACTGCCCATCCTTAAAAATTTCCATTAATGATTAATATAATACTAAAAGGCATGTAAACGTAAAAGTACACTTCCTGAAAAAAAGTGGGGTTTTGTTTTTATCACGGTGGGACCAAGGTTTTTTGACAAAATGGTTGGTGAGACGTAAGGTGCAAAAGATTGAGAACCGCTGATCTAAATCACCTGGCTGCACAGCAATCAGGACTCATGGTAGAGGTGATACCTTTTATTAGACCAACTAGATTTTTGCAAAAAAAATTATAGCTGGTCTAATAAAAGATATCAACTCTACCGCGAGTCCTGATTGCTTTTGGCACTTGACCAATACGGCTACAACCTGGATACCTGGCTGCACAGCTGCGCTCCAGAGCAAGTGGGAAACAGTGCAGAAACTTCCCCTAACCATCAAGTGCCAGGGAACTTCCCACCCTGCCTGTCCTGCAGCTCTCACACATCCAGGCTCCTGAAAAGACAAGTGGGACCTTGACAGCAAGGTTTCACGGATGTACAGATCCCCAGGGGCTTTTCCTAGCCAGCCCTGATGCAATTAAAGCCAGAACCTGCAGCCCTCCATTGCAACACTTGAACCACCACTTCCCTTGCAGGAACACGCTCGGCCTCACACAAACACTACGTCTGCACAGTCCTGTGGATCGAGGCCTCACTCCTGCCAACAGGAATAACTGCACATGCCCAAACTCAGTAGGATGCTCAGAGGTGGTGATGCAGGCTTGAGTCCTTGCACCTTCTCAGCATAAGAAAGCTGAAAGGGACGTGACACACAAATCCAAAGGGGGATTCACAGCTGCTGCAGGTGGGAAAATGCAGCTTGCTACCAAGCTGGCACACCCATGATCCCCAGCTTTCCCCCCAGCGGCACTGATACATGACAGGGTTCGAATAACTTGCCACTGCTTTGCGCCGCTATAATGAGATCCTGGGCACGCATGCAAGCTTCATCAACACAATGAGACTTGAGGTAGACTGGGTAGAGATGCCAGTAGCAGTTGATTAGCAGAACAAGGATGTCCTGTACTCACCCCTGCCGCAAAGCCCAGGCTTCCATCTAGGATCCGCCTCTGAAAAGTAAAACAAAGCCCTTCATTTACCAACTGCAAATGGAACAAGAGGCCAACAGTTCTGGCAGGGGAACAGCTTTCTGGGGGTTAAGTTTCAAGATGCTCCTATGCTTCCCTATATCAGGGGCAGCTGGGCACAGCCCTCTTCCAAGGCCGAGCATCCTATGTTCAGTGAGTGCCACAGAGTGACTAAGTGAATTCCCAACGTCACGCAGGACGTCCGTGGACACTGAACTGGGTCTGCAGCATCTCAGCCCAGCATCCTAAGGCTGGTCACCAGCCCAAGCCAAGGCTGCGCTTCAAGCATGTGCTTAAGTCCCAGTCTGCCTTCAGCAACTTTCAAGCTCGTGCTTTGGCACGCTGCTCTGCAGAGGGTGGATTTAAGTAGGTCTTCTGGCAACGTTATTCATGACTTCTGGGTTACAAATAAAAGCAGGAGCCCCCTGATTTGGCAGCTTGGCGATGACTCAGGGCTCAGTCCTGCTTGGTTCAATCACGCAGCGACCCGTCTACCCGAGCCCCAAGGGGAAGAACATTAGCATTGGAGAGCTCCCTGGAGAACAAACTCCTGGAGAAACCATCCCAAAAAAAAGGCAGTAAGAAGCAACCAGGTGGGGAAGGAAAGAGAGGCCAGCTCTTGAAAGCAACACCAGCACCAGCCTGTGGAGCTGAAGGCAGCTTTGAGCTCTGACAGGCTTAAGCACAAGTTCAGCTGCTTCCACCCCAGAAAAACTAACTGAAGTTCATAACAAAAGACATCAAAAGACACTGAAGCGAAGGCAGCAGCAAAGAACACAGATCCCAGCTTCCAGCCTGCCCCTTCCCCCTACACGCCTGGGACTAAATCGTGCCTTTGTAGCTTTGTCTGAAGCAAAGGAAATGGTGGCTATTTTAGACAAAAAGAAGATGGTGAATGCTGGACAGCACCTCAGACCCGAAAGTCAAGCTGGCTTCTTTCTTCCTCAGGCTGTTGGCACCAGCTAGTCCAACCCAGCTCAGAGCCGGTGCCCGAATCAGAGCTGCACCAGCCCAGCTGGGCCAGCAGGAAGAAAGAGCCAACCTGCTGTCACTATGTGCAGCAGACACAGCTGCAGCTATGCCAGGATGAAGAGCAGCTGAGGAAGGGCCTGTCATTCTGGCATTCCCTTTTCCTGAGAAGGGAAACTCGCTGCAAACCAGCTCATTGTAATCAAATATTCCTTCCCCTCGCCTGCACTTTGTGCCACAACGTCAATGCAAATGGGATTTGCAAGTACTAAATAAATGTTTGCTCCAGTCACAGCAGGGAGGGCGCAGGTGGCTGAAAAGTCCACGCAGGACAAGTTTGCCCAGCCTGCCGTTGGGGCCGGGCAGCTAGATCCCCCTCCCCTGCAAACCCGAGGCCTCAGATTTTTATCTAGAGGGAGGGAGAAGTTTCCACCTGACTCTCCATACCCACCTGGCCGCTGGAAAACACGAAGACGAGTGCTGAACCCGCTGCCGTCAGCCCCCAAGTCAAGAAGGTTCCTAGCAGCGCCTGGACCACCGGAGTGAGGCCTGGGATCATCCTGAACTTGCCCAGAGTTCACCAGCCTGGAAGAGACACAGGGTATCAGGAGAGAAGGCATCAAACACAACGTGGGCTTTAAACCAAGAACACAACCCCTACCCCTTACTAACAGGAGGCGCTTTGGGCCTGGCTTTCATAGGTGCTGGGCACCTAATGTTCCCTTCAGAGCCCCGGGCACTTGGCATGAGGCCGGTCAACTGCAAGTCCAGTGTAAGACCACTGACAGTGCGGCTTGTCTGATCCGCTCCCACCTCAGGCAGCCTGGACCCTGCTGGAGTTTGTGACGTTTAAATCCGAGAGTCGTTCCCTGCTCCCTTGTGTCAATGAACCTTTCCATAGAGTCCCCCTGGCTTTAGTGGGGATCTACCCTGCAAGGACCCCGTTTCAGGGTGGGAGCCCAAGAACATCCATCCTGGTAGAACAAGTTTCCTTTCTGGGATGCGGGGGCAGGGACACAAAGACACTCTCTACCACCGTGAGCAAGAACCTAGGAGTCCAGCCTCTGGGGAAACTATACTGGCTGGCACATCCTTACATCCCCCAGTAGCTCCCCTCGAAGCCTCAGTTCTCCCAACTAAACAACTAGGAAAAGGGAGAAGACGAGAAATACAATTAATGCACACAGTTCCTCACTCCGAGCAGAAATTCCTCACTACACTTCTGGGGTGCAGCAGATGCATGTGTGCTTGCACCCGTGAAAACCGCACAGCAGTCCGTGCAGAGCACCAACTATACTCATTACACTGTTCGCAGACACTTGTCACACCCGACAAAGAACCAAAGCAGCAATATTAAGACTACACGACTACTTCTGAACTGCTAAAACTTCCAATAACCTAAGAAAAGGAGCCTTGATATTTCCTCCTGGCATCGGAGGAATACCTAGTTAACTTGCCATCATGCTCACAGCACACTAAGGATTCACCAAGGGAGATGTTGCTGTCTGTCAATCAAGACATCTAAAAAAAAAAAAAAAACCTGCTATGTATCTTCAGGCAGAAGCATGCAATATCTTTAAAGCTCTGTGCAAAACCCTCCTGCCTTCTGGATTTCAACACCGAGTAGCACACTAGCCGAAACGCTGCCTTTTTCTCTGTCCTACGCCCGCCCTTGTCCCCATCCTTGCTGCAAAGGCTGGAATCCGAAGGCTGATTTTAAGGACTCAGATCTCTGTCAAACTGGTGCACGAAATATAGGCTTGAGGTCCCCTTGTTTAAAGCCCAGCTGCCTAACCAGAGCAGAGCAGGGATTGAGCTCTCCTAGTCGCCCACCCAACACACAGGACATCAGACTGGGGAATAAGCTCCCTACAGCGGTGCTGCAATCACCTACCCTGGAAATCTTCCAGAGGAGACTGAACAGTCACCTCGCTGGGGTCTCCTGACCCCCAGTTATCGTGCCTGCCCAGTGCAGGGGACGGGACCCGACGATCTCCCACGGTCCCTTCGAGGAGTAACCCTCGAGGACACAGATCCTCCCACTCCCTTGCGTCCCGGGCTGCCTTCTTAAGCCTCCCGGGTGCCCCGAGGATCCCCCAAAGCACTGACCCTTGGGAATGCAACATGCCCCACAGCCTCCACTGCCGCCCTTGGCGTTCTCACGCCCATCCTTTCCCTCCATTCCCGCTACCCCTCCGCGCCAGGAGGATGCCTGCCAGGGAGGAGGATTATCAGTGGGTTTGAAGGTGGCTGCAGAGTCCCATCCCTGCTCTGCACAGTCTCCCAGGGGGCCAGGACACTGCGCGCTTTCCTTCCTCCTCTGCTGTTTCACAGCTCCATAAACCGCGCGTCCTCGAAGCAGACAGCAGCTCCGTGCCCGCGACCCCCACCCCAGCCTGTCCCACTTGGATGCCACCCAGACCCCGCTCCTCTGCACCCCTGCCACTTGCATGCTGCCCTTCCTCACAGCATGCTGGATATGCCCCCTGGCCCCATCCTGCCACCTGCCCACAGCCAGGGCATGCAAAAAGGAGCCCCCTACAGCCCCCCCCGCCAGGAGGGCTCCCTGCCAGGCTCTTTCTGCAGGGCTCCGGCCCTGCCCCAATGCCCAGGGCCCTGCCCCAGAGCCCCCCACTCACTGCTGCTGCTGCAGCC